CAGGAACTGAAAGAATCCAAAGATGATTTCCATAAGGTCACTAGAAGTTGATGGCTGTGAGTTAGGAGCCCTGGTGGTGTCGTGGTATGCATTGTGCTGCAATTCGCATGGTCAGTAGTTCGAAACCATCAGCAGCTCCTCTGGAGAAAGGCTGAGCTTTCTACTCCCATAAATAAATAGCTACAGTCTTGGAAACCCACAGGCAGTCACTATGAGCGAGAGAATGAGTCCACTTGATCTCGCATTCTCACTACCATCGAGCCAGTGCTAATTCATATCTAGCCCCTTGTAGGTTGCCCAAACTGTAATTGTTTATGAGAGTAGAAAGCCCAGTCTTTCCTCCAGAGCAGCTGCTGCTGGTTTCGAACTGCCAGCCATGTGGATCACAGGCCAATACATAATCTCTACACCACCAGGGCTCCATTTGGGTCACCACAAGTCAGAATCACCTCAATGGCAATGAGTTTGCTTTTGGATTGGTTCGGATGGACTATAGAGCACGAAAGTTTATAGCTGCCAGGTGGCACCGAGTAATTCCACCCCCACCGTCCCCCCTGAAAAGGTCAAATAAGTTTGGGAGCAAATGCCAGCCTGCTCTGGTTCTATGTATTCACCCAATCTAGATATTTCATCGCTCGCTGCCATCAGAGTTGATTCCGACGCAGAGTGACCCAACAGGACAGGGTAGAACTGCCCTTGTGGGTTTCTGAGACGAATTCTTCACGGGAGTAGAATCCCCTCTTCCTCCTACAGAGTGGCTGGTGATTTTGAGCTGATTTTGAGTTAGAATTAACTCCATAGCAATGAGGTTTTTGTTGTTGTGCTAACTTTCTTTCGCTTAGCATCATATTCTCAAGGCTCCAACACATTGTAGCATGTATCAATACTTCCCTTCTTTTAACGACTGAAAAACAGCCCGTCTTCATGTGTTCATCGTCTGTAGGGGACATTTGGGTTGTGTCTACCTGTGGTCATCGTGAACTCTGCCGCCAGGAGAGGGAGTGCACATGTTTTTGTGGACGCATACTGCAGTTCTTCTAGGTACAGACGCGGGAGTAAAACTTCTGGGTCATGCGCTTAAGTTTTTGAGGGGTCAATAGATAAGCTTTGAATAGATAATGAGGATTGTTCAAGTTCCATGAGTTAGTAGCAGTCATGATGCTTGCTACTAACTTCCATGAGTTAGTAGCAGTTAGAAGGGACCAAAGACTGTTGTTTTTCCTGCAGCATCTCTGCAGAGTTGAAAGAGAAAATTCTGTGGTCCCCTAAGAGATGGCGCTGGGTAGGTACAGGAAGGATAGTGACATGATTTAACACATGGACCCTGATTTGCTAATGTTGTGGACATCATAAGCATTGTCAAGAATTAGCCATGCCTTTTGGGTAGTCAGAATTTATGTTTCAATGAAACAACACAGAGTTCATGTATGTACATGTGTAATCTTTTCTTATGGTGATTCTTCAATGGTGCTGTTATACAGTCCGCTAACATTATCATCTAATTTAAGTTCTAATTATAACCCTGGCACATGGATTATGTGGGGTTGCGATGAGATCATCCTTACTACAATGACTACCTGGGATTTATTGAGCATTTACTGAAGGCCAGGCACTTAACCACCTAGGGCCTTTTACAGAATCGTCAACACAGCTCTATGGGCCATGTGCCATTAGCACCCCCATTTTAGGGATGAGGAAACTGAGTTTCAGGGAGGTTAGATCACTTGCCCAAGTTAGAATACAGACTGCTAGACTTCAGGATTTGCTCTGAAACTACAATGTGGCCCTGGCCTGAGAGCCATGCTCTGGGTCTGGTTCTCAATGAACTAGTTACAGACTGTCCACCCATCGGAAAGCAGAAAGGCTCCCTTTTCCATCGAACAAGGCAAAGGATGATGTAGGACACAAGGGTTAACTTGAGTAAAGACTTTCCTTACCTGAGCAAAGTAGAGCTTTAGTTTTTTCCCTCTGAACTGGGTTTCATGAAGTTCTATCCTGGCTCGGGCTGCAGATTTAGGATTGCTGAAGTTTATTCGGACACGTCTGAAACTCTTAAAGAGCTGAAATGTCACGCAGTCATCGTAAGTCCGGAAAAGGCCCTCAAATTTCTCCTGATAAAAACAAACACAAGTGGAAAATCCATTGGTCACGCACCTAGTTGACTGCTGGATCTGACAATACAAATACCCCTGCCTGAGTCCTTCCTGAAACACGGCATTAGCTAATGAAATAAACAAACGTGCTGCTCAGGACATAACTTTCAAACAGATTTGTAATCTGGGTTCAGGGACCCATAGGGGCCCGGTGAATGGGTTTCAGAGGGTGTAACAACCCTGAACGTTATGTAAATGTTGAAGTATCTGAGTATGTATGTGTGTCTGCATACACACACACACACACACACACACACACACACACACACACACGCACGTGTATGTCTATGTGTGTCTACAGAATTTTCTCCCCGAGGAGAGAGAACTTAGTTTTACAGCAAATCCTCAAAGAAGCATATTAGTTGCAGATTAAAACGTGTTGGAGACATTAGTGAGAATAACCTTAGGGGCATTTTCCCCCCTTTAAGGACAAGGGGCCTCAGACCACCCAACCCCTTTCAGGCAGGTAGCAATGTGAGAGTCCTTCCCGAGGAAAGGTATGTGGAAGGCAGGGGACAGGCTCGGAATCATTTTTTAGTCTCTCTCTTTCTCAGAGGCTTTAGCTGAGGAGTGTCCCTCTGTCCCCAGAGACCCAGCCGCAAGCCTCAGGACTGCCCCCATCCGAGCCCTGTGCGGCAGTATAACGCAGGACCACCTTCTTCACCCTACGGCTGCTCTTTCTGCTTCACAGTGCTTCAGCCCGGACCGCAGAGCACACTCAAATCAAAGCTCGCGTCTTTGCGTTTTCATTTCCCTCCGTCTTTAGTTTCGTGATCTTTCTGGCACATCGAGAGCCTCTCTTCTTTTGCCCTTTTTCGTATCAAGAGCCAAACACAATTTTCTTTGTCTTAGGTCATTTAAAAAAAATCAACTCTCCGTCCTTTATCTTATCAAGGAAACTCTCTCTGTTGCATTAAACCACTGATATTTGGGGTTTGGTTTCTTCCTGAGGCATAGCAGGGCTCATCTCAATATAAAGCAATGATTGAAAAGACTCGATTCAGTACACAATTCCAATTGAACGGAGCAAAGGTCTATGTAGGAGTGAATAGAATTTGGTTCCTACCCTCAGTGATCTGACAGTCTCACAAGAAAACAAAGACAAATAATAACACACCCAGAAGACGATGGAGAAGGATGCGTAAAAGATATGTAAGATTATAGATGTGTGTGCACTACACATTAAAAACACCACTTTGCTTTTACAAAACACCTATATTTGTATCCATTTTCAGGAACTGAAAGAATCCAAAGATGATTTCCATAAAAGTAGCATTTATTTGTTTGGGGGGCCAGCCCTTAAAGAGGCAGTGTACACCCCAAGCAGGGAGCATTTGTCCTGAGTCTGTGACCACTTGATGTTATTGTTACTTGAGGTTTCATGTGTTATTTGAATGATTCTGTCTTGGAGTATTCACAAGTTTCCCCTATTAATCAATGGTAATCGCCTTCACTTCAAGGCATTTCAGCTTTTGACAGGTCTCACAGGCATGCTCTACTTTCAATAGAGGGGGAGCCATATATATATATATATATATATACATACATACCAAAACTCACTGCCACCGAGTCGATTCTGACTTACAGCTACCCTGTGGGACAGAGTAGAATTGTCCCTGTGGGTTTCAGAGATGGTAACTCATTACAGGCTTAGAAAGCCTAGTATTTCTCCCACAGAGGAAGAAGCTTTTGGGTTGGAACCTCTGACCTTGCAGGGCTTCCTTCCTGTGTATCCATCCACATAAATAATATACACATATAAACACCATGGCTGGTTCCTGTTAGTCTAAAAAAATAATAATAAGTAACATAAATCACGGCGACATGGTTACCTGGGAAATAGTTTCTCTAAAGCAAACCTGATTCTTTTATTTCCACAAGGAAAGGGAGTCTGTCCAAAGAGTGAGCACAAGGGGAAATAGGGATGCCTGAAAGATGAATGCTGCCAGATTCACAGAGTTTTAACTCGGAACAGGTCTAAGAGTTGATCAACACCACCTTTGGCTCCTCCGTACTTACATCATTTTACAGATCAGGGCCCTGGGACCTAAAGAGAGAAAGAGCTGACCGTGGTCACTGGAACAGTTGGCAACAGCACCCTAACCTGGCCACTGGCCACAGTCCCTTGACCCTGCCTACAGAGATGTTTCCATTTATATAAAGAATTACATAGCTAGTTGAGGAGGAAGAAATCATTGCTTTCATAAGAGTAAGAGATCATGTTATGGATTGAATTGTAGCCTCCAAAAATGTCTGTCAACTTGGCCAGGCTGTGACTCCCAGGAGTCTGTGACTCCGTTTTTGCGACCTCATATAGTTACCATTCACTTTGTGATACGTGCAGTGAATCCTAACCTCCATCGGCGGAGGAAGGATGAGGGCGTGTCATAGCTGGTAGCTTTACAGGAAGGTGAGACTCAAGTCTCACTCTCACTCAAGTCACTCCTTCCTCAAGCCACACCTTGCTTGAGTTCACCTGTATGCTTATCAGAGGAAGAAGGAGGGAAGGGAGAGCACCGAGGTGGAACTGCCCTGTAAGAGAAACCGGGAGTGGAGCGCATCCTTTGGACCTTGAGACCCCTGAACTGAGACCCTCATATACCCGGGGGACAAATCACAACAAGGCACGTGGAGATGTCCAGGGAATTCTGTGTCCATATATGTTGAAAAGAGGTCAGGGCCCTTCCTTAGAGCCAACAGAGAAAGCAGGTCTTCTCCTACAGCTGGCACCCCGAATTCGGATGTCCAGTCTCCTAACCTGTGAGAAAATGAATTTGTTTGTAAAATCCACCCACCTGTGGTAGTTCTGATACAGCAGCACTGGATTAAGTAAGGCAGATGGATGCCCATAAATGAACCTGGGGCTTATGTTTGGCCTATCAAAAAGATGCAGCGATACAAAGTGGGTTTACAGAAACTCTGATACCTGAAGCTGCACAGGAAAAGTCACTCAGACGTCAGGGATGGTGCTTTCTGCTTCCTGGGCATCCATGCCCAGGTCTCAGACTGACCTTCCAGTCCAGGGTCTAATCCTTGCCCGGGGTATGGATCACCATAGCTCCTCCCTTTTGATTCCGTATCTATAGACTCTGTTTTACAGAGTATCAACACATTGCACAACCCCAAGAGAATACACTCATATCAAGCTTGTTTATTTTTCTCTCCCCCTCCCCACCCCCCGGCCCCAGCAATTACTTCTCTGGAGATTTGAGAGGCTCTCTTCCTATCTTCTTTTCTGATTAAGAACAAAACACAATTCTATCTCCTCTGACATAAACCCAAAGCCACAAACCAAACGCACTGCCATCAAATAAGTCTGGTCTCACAGTGAGCCTACATAAGGTCACCAGAGCAGACAGTCTCAACGTTTTCCTACAGAGCAGCTGGGGTTGGACCTGTAAGTCTGAGGTTAGCAGCTCCAGGCCTTACCCATAGCATCTCCAATGCTCCTTTTCCACTTAACTCGGCCTCCTCTTTCGTTCACTTCTCTACCCTTAGGATTCGGCTAACTTCCACATCTGGGGTCTACCTGTCACGACTCCCAGAGGGCTCCTCTTGTTACCCAATAACACAGAGAAATCCCAGTGAATAAAATGTGTTCCATTTCCTCACAATGAGTACTCTCCATGCTTCAACTCTTAGCTGCTTGCTTGCCTAGTTGGGGGAGTTTTCAGGGATAGGAGGAACTTAGCGATTGAAAGTTCTCATTTCCATAGTGTGTGTCATCTTTCCCTCAGGACAAAGTCCTCGGGTCTTCTTTGTGCCTGGTACATTATTCCAGTTCCAGATTGGGAGGCCCATTTTTCCATCCCTCTCCAACGTCTCAGGGTGGGTAGTGAAGGCTAACCTCCCACAAGGCTGACCTCTTGTCTTTGGAGCCAAACTCTTTGCTTTTCATTTTACATTTACTTTTATATGTCGTATATTCTCTGGAATTAGTGTTTGGATGAGAAGAATGGAATTCAAGGATCCCAGTCTTTAAGTGTAGGGAAGGGGTGACAATAAATTGGCTTTGCCCTGCCTCTATTCTGAGACTTTGGCACACACCAGTCACTGTTAACTCCACCCGTATCCAACAGAGGGCACACCAGGCAGCTACTATCTTCAAACTGGACTGAGCAGGTGACACAAACTTCTTGGATACTCTCCATTGGAGGCTTAGGCTGGGAAGCACATGAGGTTCTTGCACTAAACATGAGGTATGGCTCAGAGCCCAGTAACCAGTGGACATTCACGGCCAGATTTCCCAAGTGGTTATAATTATAAACAGCTACTGCTTATTCCCACCACCTATCGGTCATTTGGTCATACTGCGCTGGTGTGTATGGTTACGTAATGTGGATTGACTCGATGACTTCTTTTTCTTTTTGGAAAGACCATCTGGTGAGATACGTGGCAAGGTCACATAGGTCTGGGGCATTTGAGATCTAAAAGAGAATTTGATCTTGTACCTTCAATCAATTCCTGCCCGTTGTATCTTTTAGATAGCAAAAAATGATATGGTGCACCCAACGACATAGCAAGTAGAACTATCAACATGGGCTTACCAAAGAAGACTATAGATCTGGATTCTCATGCCAGATTTGAAAATAAAATAAAGCCTTCAATATGAACATTTGACAGTTTAAACTTTCTACTCTTGAAGATATTTGTTTTTCTTGATATTCTTTATAAAGTGCAGAGACAAGCACTGCAAATGGAAACATTACTTTTTTTTTGCCTGCAGAAACTCACCACCTTTTTCTTTCCATCGTACTTCATCTCAAATCAGAACCAAGAAGGCAAGAAGGTGGCCTGTTCAGAAGACCTGAGCTGCTCTCCTCATTGAGTCTGGAACTCTTGCCATGGGTGGTCTAAAACTTTCCTTCTAATCATTGTCAAAGCTCACATAATAAAGTAACCTTCCTCAGTCATAACATTCCCAAGGTCTGTTTAGTTAATGCTGGTGTACAAATGCT